TAACGGTGTACACAGCTGGGTCCAAAACACTTTGAAATGGTCACAATTCTACCACGGTCTCAGTCATCTGCTGTGCTCTGTGAATTGCCATGAAGTCTCTACTGGTTGCAGTGTGTCCTGCTGTGCCGTGATATATAGCCCTCAGTTCAAACTCCACTGGAAGCAGATGACTAAAAATACTGTAGTCGTGAATTATCGAGGGCCGATCAGTTCGATGATCATATCTCAATGGAAAAAAATAAAATAAATCAATCAATTATTAAATTAAATTAACACAAGAACGCGATGCAATCAAACAAGGACAGAAATATGCATGATGTACTTGCATTAAAAGAGAAGTAATAAATATACAAGGAAATTTTTATTTTTATTTTTTTTTGGCTATCTTATTGGCAGTTATTGCATAGATTTTGAAGGGCAAATCTGGATATATATATAGTGAAGATAAAAAGAGAGAATACATAATACAGAAAGAAATGGCCAACACTTTCTTCCGATGCTTACCACACTCAGAATGACACGCAATTCCCCGTTCAATGCAAGCGTGATCGCAGCAGCGTGTCGGCATTGCGAGCAATGACCAAGATCCCTGCCCAATCGCACACTCTGTCTATGTGTCGCGGTGCGTGCAGGCAGCGTCGTTCGACCCTGCGCCTGGGCCCTAGTATCTGCGCCTAGGTCCAACGTAGATCACGGCCCAGGTAGTACAGTTGCGCCCCTTATGCAAGGGCCGTCGTCCAAATTCAGACTCAGTATCGGTTTCCCATTGGTTCGACCGGGCTCTACAGCAGAATGCCGCTTTTCCATAGGCCAGCGACCAATGCGTGGTGTGTCGGCCTCCCAGGCATGTGCCAAGGGCTCAACCAACTGAGGCCCTGGGCTCAACTGCTTCCGTAGGAGTCTGGGCTTCGACGCACTCCAACCAACTGGCGTGCTGCAACTGCCTGATAGCCACTTCGTGCTGAATAAAAGGCCTCTCGTGGATATTCTGGCCCGCCTTCACTTAGAGCGAGGATGAGGCTTGCTCAGGGCCTAAGCCCAGAACATGTGCATGTCGGTAAGGCCCCGTTGAGGGCTCAATCCTCATATATAGAAAGAATCACCAAAAAAAGGGGGAAAAAAAATGACAAGAAAGAAAACGGAATTCCTTTGGGTGCTGCGGTATGAAAGAATACTTGACTGAAACTAACAAAAGGACTTAAAAAAAATAAAAAAATTAAAAAAATTAGAGGCTGGTAAACTGACCAGACTGCCCACAGCTACAGACAAAGTAACAGAAAATGATGTTGCAATTTGGAAAGTTGCATCGAGGATAAGTCGTCAAAAAACGAAAAAAAAAAAGAAGAAAAAGTTCAACCTATATATTTGCCATGCTCTTAGCACACTGCACTGTACAATAGATCATGAAAGACTAAAATTGGTTGAGAGATTAAAATAAAAAAAAAAAACTGAAAAACAAATCAATGGAGTTGGAAACTCAGCAGAATGATAGGCAGTGCTTTGGGCTGGCCCGAGTTGATGGGGGAGGGAATCAGGAGGGAATCAGAGGGCATCAGTGGTAGCAGAAAAGCAAGTGGATTTGTCGCTATCTGCTTTCATTACCTGCGCAGCCAGTGAGTTTTGACTGTTGAGGTTCACAGTGTTCTGTTCATGTTCTTGGACGTGGTTCCCAGCACGCGCTGCTCCCCACGAATAGATTTGAGTTGTTCCTCTCTAAAAAAATATATAAGGAAAAAGGAAAGAAAAGAAAAGAAAAGAGGGGTTGCCCTTTGTAATTAAAAAAAATATGAAAAAAAAAAAAAAAAAAAAAAAAAAAAAAAAAAAAAAAATTGAGAGGAAAAAAAAAAAAAACACACAATTATAGAACGAATTAGCAAAAAAAAAAAAAAAAAAAAGAGAAGCTGGTAAACAGACCAGACTGCTCACACCCACAGACAAAGTAACAGAAAAAGATTTTGCAATTTGAAAAGTTTCATTGACGATAAGTCGGCAAAAAAGAAAAAAAAAAAAATTTAATGTATATAGTTGTCGTTGCGCAATCAATGGGTTTAGACTGGTCAGGTTCACAGTGGACCCTGACTTTTCATCTACCTGTTCCGTTCATGTTTCTGCTCATGCTTCAGATGGGACTCTGGACCCGGTTCCCATCACGCGCTGCTCCCCATAAATAGATTGAAGTTGTTTTTCTTAAAAAAAAAAAGAAAAAAAAAAGAAAAAAAAAGAGGGAGGAGTGGGTTGACTACAACCTATTGAAGAGTTGGCTGAAGCTAACAAAAAAACTCGACAATAAAAGAGAGAGACAACATTTGCTGGCTATGTCTAATCTACTGTAGTAACCACGATACCATATCTAAGTTAGTGTACTAACCACCATGCCAGTGGGTTGAACACCGTCATAAGTGTCACTTCATACTCACGTTCATACATTGTGGTTCATACTCATGTTCATACGCATGCGCCACACACACACACACACACACACAGAGTGCCACTTCTAGGCAAGGGTTCTACTAGGGAGGATGCTCGTATCACGTCGTTAAACAGAGCCCCTTGCACCGAACTTTCTGGATACATTCGCACAACATACTATTATCTTGGTTGGTGGGCGAAATCCATATTCCTTGACATAGGTTGTTGGTTGAAAAACCTTTCCCTTTCTCCAATACATCCCAGCTGTATCTTCTGTTGTCTGTCGTGTGTTAACTGTAACCTTCCATCACGTTCATCCAGACAACTGTAAATTAGTTTGCCATTGGCCACTGTACTGTTTTGACCGAAACATGCAACAAATGCGGTCGGATGCATCCACAAAAGTCTTTGCCATAGTTTCTTGATCGCACAGTGCATCTTCCTCTTCGGACCATAGTGCATCTTCCTCCGAACCAGATAGTGCATCTTAGGAGTTGTGTATAGTGAACCCTGAACCCTGGACCCTCAACGATCGACCCACGATGGTAAACCCTGAACCCTACAACCTAAACCCTAAACCCTGACCCTCACCTGTAAACCCTAAACCCTAAACGCTCAACCCTAAAATGTCAACCCTAAACCCGAAACCCGAAACCCTAAATAGTGGCAATGTACGGGATTAAGTACGCGAACTCGTTTTTGTGTCCTCCTTTCTTTCGCTGGCCCTTAACCCCAAACCCTCGAGGCTATGATATGTTTTTTTTGCTTCTGCACCCTTTCCAATTAACTTAGCTGATGTGTGTGTGTGTGTGTATGTGCATGTGTGTGTACATGTGAGTGTGTGTGTGTTTGTGTGCGTGTTTGTGTGAGAGTGTGTGTGGGAGTGTGTGTATGTGTCTGTCACCCCGAAGTCTCTTACTGTGCCAATAAGGGTTGTCAGGCTTGGCTTGTTCGCACTCGAGGACGGTAAGTTGTTTATGCTTTCTACCGAACTTAGCTGTTGTGCGTGTGTGTGTACATGTGTGCGTGTTTGTGTGGGAGTGTGTGTGTGAGTGTGTATATGTATATCGGTTACACCGAAGTCTCTTATTGTGCGCAAGCATTGCTGCCAATAGGGGACGAGAGGCTTTGCTTGTTCGCACTCGAGGAAGGTAAGTTGTTTATGCCGTTGCTCCACCCTTCGTGCTTTCTGTCTCTGCAACTTGCGTCGTGTGCACTGTTTGTTGTAATGTCTATTTATGTATGGTCAGTCATATTTCCTATCTTGCAGTTTAACTCAGTTATGGGATCTTTGGTGTTTTATTTCGTCTTTCGTACCTTTTCGAGTATGACCTTATAACGTCTTGCTAATTTTTTCTTCACTTCATAAAACAACATACTTCATAAAACAACATAGCTATGTTCTTTTTATTAAAAAAATAATAATAATAAGTCCTCAGGTTTTCTTTCCTTTTCCATTCTGGGGACCCTTACAACCGGCTCCTTTTCCACCGGCAAGTTAGAAAAGGTTACAATAACTACTTACACACGCTCCTCCCCATCATGGCGGGAAGGCGGTCCGAAGGCCTGAACGACGGGATTGATGACCTCCTAACAGAAGGATGTATAACCCTTCACCGCTTGGGATTGTGAATCGGGACTGTGAGTCGGGACTGTGAATCAGGATTGTGAATCGGGACTGTGAATTGGGACAGTGACAGGGGATCATGAATTGGAACCGGGACTTGGGAAGCTGATTTGGAACTGGGAACTAGGATTCAGACTTTCGCTTCGGACATAGGACTGAGACTCAGAACTTTGATTTACGACTATGATTCGGAACTGGTGCAAGACTGTGACTTGGGACTCCGACTCGCTATTTGGGTTCTTACTTTCGTATGTGACATGCTGATGATTTTTTTTTTATTAAACTCTGTCATCTTTGCCTCAGTACCTTTTAACGCGTCATGTGCTGAGCTTTGTTTCTGCTGCACCTGTGTTGCAGACCCTTCCACAATCGACTACTTTCGTGCTTCGGTGCCTGTGTGGACTGTTTGTTTAGGCCCGACGGTAAGTGCTCTTTCCATGAATTGTTCATGACCATTCATGTCAGACAATTGCAAAATATGTAATGCAGAAAAATCAATTGAGCAACTATCATATCCTTATCGGGACTGATACTTGCCACTTGGAATGTGATTGGAAGCTAGAAAAACGACCAGGAATCAGGCCACGAACTATAGGCCGGGAAAGGGAATCAGGCTTTGGGATTCAGACACAGGAGCGGGACTTCGGATCGGGGCTTGTTATTGGAAATGAGACTGACACTCAGGATTCCAATGTGGGAGTTGGGGCTAAGATCTCAGACTCGTGACCGGCCGCAGATTTGAGATATTGTCTTTACGTGTTTCTCGCACAGGGTGCTGACCTTCATTTTTTTTCTCTCACGTACAATTGGAAGACATCAAACCCTGTTGTAAGCACAACTAATCTTTTCGGATATTCATCCCCGTTCATTATCTTGCCTGTTTTTTTGCACCTACGATCTGAAGGAATAGTCTTTTCGACTGTGTGTGTGATGTCAACTGCATGTGCCAAACTCTGTTGTGCAGTGTAAGATCAATTGTACTATATATGGTATGTTTCATACTCTGCTTTTTTCGCTTCTGTCTGTTGTGCTGTGCTTTGCATTCTCAACTTTGTTCTGCCGTTTTGTGCTACTGCAGTCTGAGCCGTGTGATCTCTGCTTTGCAGTCAGCCGAGTTAGAGAAAGCGTTACCCCTTGTTTTCAAAGGGAACGAACTTTGTCTGTCATTGTTCCCAACAAAGCAGTCGCATTCTTCCTACCCAATATCCACAGGGTACAAAAGTTCGCGTGATTATCTCTTCTTTATCTCTACTCCTTAGCGGATTTCGACAGCAGGACGGATTATCCACTAGGGCTACTCCTTAGCGGATTTCGACTTCCATGACCACTTGTATTTGCATCCTCTTTAGTGGATTTCGACCCCAATGACGATTATCCACTATGGCTACTCCTTAGCGGATTTCGACTTCCATGACCACTTGTATTTGCATCCTCTTTCAGCCATTGCTTGCAACGTGACAGACCAGCATGTGACTTTGTCCGCCACTATCACGATGGACAAATACGAATGACAGACAATAATGATTGTAAATCGGTGGTACTGACAGTCTCTTCTTTGGTTATGGTAGAAAACAATCTCCTTATTTTTTTCAAAATTTCTTGTTATCATCTCTCTTTTTTTGGGTTTATTCTTCCCCATTTATAGGGTTCAGGGTTCAGGGTTTAGAGTTTAGGGTTTAGGGGTCAGGGGCAAGGGGTTGGGGTTTACGGTTTAGGCTACGTCGTTTTCTGTAGGTCACTTGTATTTGCATCCTCTTTCAGCCATTGCTTGCAAGGTGACAGACCAGCATGTGACTTTGTCCGTCACTATCACGATGAATAAATACGAATGACAGACAACAAGGAATGTAAATCAGTGGAACTGACAATCTCTTCTTTGGTTATGGTAGAAAACAATCTCCTGAGTTTTTTCAAAATTTTTTATTATCATCTCATTTTTTTTGGGTTTATTCTTCCCCATTTATGGGGTGTTCTATTTTATGGACCAACTGTATGGTTCCGTTTTTTTAATTTTTTTAAACTATGGATATGGAAGAATTTGTTTTGACAACCTTTTCTGCATCCCGGTTGGTTTTGTCCTGTTGTTCGATCTATCTCGGCGAGCGTATTTGTGCTTTCATGTGGGACCACTCATCCGGTTTTTTTTTTATTGTCTTCACATACAGGTTGGTTGCCTCTCGTTATTCGGTCAGTGTGAGGGGGCGGTCCTTTCGCGCCACTGATCGTCATCTGTGATTGTCATGTTTTTTGTCTCGTTAAGAATGATTTACGAATGAGAATACCCATGTATTGATGACGAATAAGATCTGCTGTATAAACATATGTAATGTCGAATTTTATTTTTTTTGCAGTTGTTTTTGTCTTGTTATTCGGTCTATTTAGCAGAAGGTAGTTATGCTTCATGTGGCACCAGTCATCCGGGTTTTTTTGTTATCTTCATATCCTAGCTGGTTGTTTTCCGTTGTTCGTGGTTTTGAGCATGAGGCGGTGCTTGTATGTGGGAATCGTCATCCGGGATTGTCTTTTGTACCCGTATTCTGGGTTCTTTTTCGTACTTTTTATTATATCTTTGCAGAGAAGAATGTTTTGACATCGTGTTTAGTCTGGTCTCATCGTTTGGCCTGTGGGCAGGGGCGGTGCTGGCCTGTGGGACTTGTCATCTGGGATTTGTTTTGTTGCCCCCTGTTCTGTTTAATTTTTGGTTGTTACCTCCTTTTATTTTTTGCCTCCTTGTCTTTTGGTTGTGTGCAACAAGTATGTTGATCTAACACACTTGGGTGGGGGCAGCCGCTGCTCAACCTACATCCACGTGAGGGGTCTTGTATGCAAGAGGTTCTGAACAGGGGGAGTTGTAAGGAAAAAGATAAAAAAACGAATTTTTTTTTTTTTTGTTTTCTTCTGATTTTTTTTTTGCCTTCGCGCTCGGATATTGATGTCACAATATATATGTGTTTATTTTTTTCTATTTTTCTTTGCTCTTCAATTGTTTGAATGTTTGCTATAACCTTTTGGTAGTTTCTCGACTTTCCTTTATATCCGTTGTATTTTTTAACTCTTACTCGTAAACAAATATTTTTTAAGGGTGTGAAATATTACTCCGTACACTATTCTTCTGTTCATTTGCTATCCCCGTTTGGCTGTGTCTTCTGTTCATTTTCTATTCTTTTGTTCATTTGCTATCGCAGTGTTCTGTTGACTGTGTCTTCTACCCTATTCTGCGTTCAGTGTTGAGCTTTGTGATCTGTGATTACCCACTTGCTATATGTGATCGTGTGTTGTGTGGTGTTAGCAGTGTGTTGTACCTCACGATATCTGGTATGCCATCAATTTCAACACCAGACAGAGACGTGCTATTGCAACCTGCGACTTTGAATAATGACATGCGACCGGATATGGTAGTACAGAGTGACCCTGAGAATATGAAACAGGACTGCGACTCAGAACTGGACCTCATTGCAAGACCCGGAACTTGTGTACAAGGAATGTATACTAAAGGCTGATAGATAGTGGATGTACTACATTGATTACATTCATAATTCGATTATGAAATTCGCCTATATTGTTGTATTTTCATGGCTATGTGCATGCGTGCTTCCCATTTTAGTGGAGAATCAGACCATGGATTGCTTCCTCAATACTGCGGTCATGCAACCATCCACACGCATGGTTCGACAAACGTGACTCGTTTTTTAATTCTCCTGTTTCCCCGCTCTGATTTCTTGTATTCTGTACGCCGTTGCTTGTATGCCCGTGCATTCCGTTGAAGTATAACTGCTTTTTTTTTTTTTTTTTTTTTTTTTTTTTTTTTTTTTTTTTTTTTTTTTTTTTTTTTTTTTTTTTTTTTTTTTTCCGTCCTCTCTTGAGTTGTATTGTATTTTTGCATCTTGTCGACCTCTCTCAGGGCCAGGGGTACCTACTGCATTCATTTCTCGATTTCCCAAAGCGACTTGCGACGTTGTTGGAACGAGAAGTAGTAAGTGTCGTGTACAAGTAACATACGTTCCTCTGTGAATGACCGAAGTCTCTCCTCTTCTGTGTTTTGTTCTGTGTTTTGTGCCGTCTTCTCTGGAATGTGTTTTGATGTTACCTTTTTTTACTATGTGGTCTGTGCATTGTTCGTAAACTACATCCTGGCCTCCTCTGTGTTGTCAGGTTTTAAGCAATGGTATGTGCTCTACTGTACAGCCAGTGGGCCGGTATGGCACACAGGTGTGCGGACAGTATCTCTCTCCACATACCTTGAGGGTAGACTGACGCATTGACCGCAGTGTCTTGTGGTGGCATGCACTGGAAAGGATCATAAGCAATGCAGCGAGACCTTTAAAGGAGGGGTCTGACTACCCAGTAACAGAGGTTTCAAGGTACAAAGATTTGGGCTTAAGGGCTACGAAAATTATATTGCCTTTGTTTTCCTGACCCTTTCGACTTGTGTTTGTATTTTGAAAGCCGATTTCCTCTCCATGGTGTCCTCTGTGTTGTGATTGAGTTCATCCATCTGTGCTGTGGTACGACTCTTATGGTGTCCTTTGTGTTGTGTCATGAAAATTATATGTGCTTGCATCCAGTGTGTGCGCGGTGCCGGAGCGTGTTTGTTGCACTACGTGCTCTCTGCTCTTCTGCTCTGCATTTGGTACTGTGTTTGTTGTGATTCCTGTTGTTCTCTGTTCTGGTCTATGTGTCGCGCACCCGTGTTATATGTCGTATTTGTCCTCTGCATAAAGCAGGACGTATCAGGAAGTTGCTTCCACCTCTTCTTCATTCTGGTTGACCTTTCGCTGTTGGATTTGCTTTGTTCCTTTCCTTTTGTTGTTTTTGCAGGGTGGTCCTATGCCGCGAGTTCAGTTGTGTTGCGCACCATTTCTCGAAATCCTAGAATGCGCCGTGCTGTGACTTCCATGCCATTTCAGCAATTGGTAAGTGTGAATGTTCTTCCATTCCAATTCATTTCCTTTCAGTGTTCTTTTTATTCTTTTCGTTTCTTTTGTCGATCGCTTGGCGCTTCCTCTTTGTCCGATCTTCCGACTTGGGATTTCGGACTCCGAAGAGGGTATTGGGATTGGTACTGGGACTGCGACTTCGAAATTGAAGACAGATCGGGCTAGATGATCTGGGATTCAAATTGGAACCGTGACTGGGATTGGATCCTAAATGTGGGATTGGGTCATTGGACGGGGATTGACAATCCACACTCTTGAATTGGGAGACGGGACAAGGCCTCTACACCGGGACGCAGACTGAGGACTGAGACTTGGAACCCATCTAAATACATTCCCGAATCAAACAGTTGTTTGACTTTCGTCTTTCTTTTGTCATTTTTTCGTGCTGGCATGTGTGTAAAAGCTTCAGACTATTTTCTGTGCGTGTCGTTTGTGCTGCTTGTGGTGTATATCCCGCACTGTTGTGTGTCGTTTCTGTTGTATGTGCTGTTTGTCTTGTGTAGTCAATATCATCTCTCAACCTCCTTCAAGAAATGTGGCACTCAGACCTATGACATGGGTATGAAACTCGGGTATGGAACTTGGGTATGGGACTTGGGACTGCGTCTTGAGTCTACAACTTGGGTCTAGGACTTTGAACTCAGATTCCAGCATGGGACTGAGACCGGGATTAGGGATGGTGGTATGGAGATGGAAACCAACAAGGTAGCTTCATCAACTAAGGATCCTGTCAACTGCTGGTTTAACAGTCATATGAATTAGTTTACTGTATGCACGTGGGTTGTTTGTTTTTCTTTTCGCAAGTGAATCGTCTTCCACTGTTAGACGAGAGAGGATGTGGGTTGAGGGGGGGGGAAGGGGGGGGGAGATGGACAAACTCCACAACCGACAGTGGAGACTATGAGGAGCGTCACCGACGAGGTAAGAAGGCGAGCAGAATGGGTGAGATAAAGGCATGGGATGATGACACGGTGGATTGATCGCAAGGATTGGAGGGAGGAGGGAGTGTTTGGGAAGCCGCGACTAGCCGACAACGGGGTGGAACAAGCAGGTGGCGAGGGGGGACATGGATAACTATACGGAGGATTGAGGAGAAGAGTAGAAGAGGGGAGATAAAGGCAAGGAATAACGACACGACACGGAGGACTAGCAGCAGGAAGGAACGTTCGCGAGGCCGCGGCTGGCCGAGAGCGGGGTAGAGCAACGCTGCCCACGACGTGGCGAGGACTGACGATTGCAGAGCCCGGTTAGGCGATCGACGAGTGCGAGTGTGCGTAACGGATAGGGGAAAGGGGACCTTGCGAGGCAGAAAACAGAGAAGAACGGGACAGGGTATCGACGAGAGGGAGTCGCCAAGAGATTAGCGACCATGCAGCGCTGCAATCACAACGGAGGGGGGGGGGGCAGAGTGAAATCTGATGAAGGCGGTCCGGAAAGCGGCGTTGACAGGAACGTTTATGCCAGGGGGGACAGCGGGGCAGAGCATGGAGGGGGGCGAGATTAGTTTGAGAGTGAATCAGGAGATGGCGAGAGTGTACGTCACGTACTTGCGCGTGCATGCAGTGATTCGATTTGAGGGTCCGCTGAGACAATTCTCATCGGAACTGAAGGTAGATCTCGTCGGCCAGTGGGAGGGCACATGGCCACAACTGGCGAGAGGACGATTCAAGGGGAGGATGACTGCGGAGGGGCCCGCAACGATCCTCTATTGGGCACCATCGGCAATGTTGAGAACGTGGTTGGTGGAAACTCGTAAGGAAGAGAAGGTCAACATCAATGACCAAAAGCATGTGGCTACATTTGCACCATGAAAAACGTTGGTGGAGCTCGAGTGGGAGAGACTGATGGAGCGCAAGCGCCACCCGTGGGTGAAGTTTATTCATCCTTTGCCGATAGTACGAACCTTCTTGAGAGAGACAACCGCTCACCTTTTCGGCGAAGTGATCAACAACGAGGGGGACATAACAATGGATGCCCTAGGGAGGGAGGAAATAACATTCCACCTACGTCCACCTCTTAGAAGGATAGGTTTCGACCGGTTGGTGATCGACCTAGGGATATATGGTCGTCATCCGGTCCGACATATCACTGGCGAGATACCCTGGTGCACGGCATGCAGACGACATGGCCACCTGGCAGGAAACATGGGCTGCCTCACGAGACAAGAGACAAGTAGAGAACTCAACAATAGAGAGAGGAGGCTGCAAGTAGACCCGACAAGACCGAGGAATGAGAGAGAAGAGATAGAAGGATGGATCAGATTCGAGCAGCAACATGATTACGTGATCAGTGCAGAGCTCCCGGTCGAGGGTAGCTTAGTCGATGTGGAGGGAGTGTCGACAGGACACTTCCTCCCCTCAGTGAGAATACAGCAACTATCCGATCAGGGCAATGGGAGTGGCCCCGCAGAGAATCGGACGGAAGGGAAGAGCGAAGGAAGACAGGTGGGGGAGGTGCAGCAGAGGGCTTTGGGTCATGACAAAGCACAGTAAAAGGGGGAGGATGAAGAGGAGAGGCAGGGGCGGCGGAGGACGCCAGAGAGTGCGTAGAGGGAGAAGGGGAACGCAAGGGTAGCGGGGAGACGGAATGAAAGCCGACAGCAACGGCAGGGAAAGAGGGAGGAAAGGGGGGAGAATGAGGGAGGCCGACCTTAGCGACAGCAGACGAGAGAGGTGGAGATGGGGAAGAATGAGGAGGGAGGAGAGGAAGGGGAGACCCCACGGGGAACAACAGAGGGTGAGCAGGGGGACGTGGAGATGATCGATCGGGAGGAAAGGGGTGAAATCTGCCCCGCAGAAGGGAGGGGGGAACAAAGAAGACCATCGAGATTGGAACAACTGGAAAGGGAGCAGCGGGCTGTCTTGGGAAGTAAGGAGGAAGGGAGGTGTCAGGAAGGGCTGGAAGGGGGGGGGGGAAGGTCAGAGGAAGGGAAATTTGGGCCCCGAGGCGGCTAGGAAACAAAGAAAGAGGTGCCGAAGGGAGAGAGAGCGGAGCGAGAGGGGCCGCAGCAGAGAGGGGGAGGAGGAGAGGAGGGGATAAGACATGAGAAAGGGGAGAAGACGGGGGAAAGCAACAGGAGGGAGGTAAGTAGGTGGGGAGAGGAGGAGGGAACAGAGAAAGGGCGACATGAAGAAGGGAGAGAGGCGGATAAACAGGGGCAGTCACCACGGGAAACCCTATTGATTGGAGGGATGAAACCAAGACCACAGGGAATAAAAAGACCAAGACGGAGACGAAAGAGCAGACAACGAGAGGGGAAGGTGGGGAAGGGGAGAAAAGGGAAACAAGTGGTGATGTCCTCCTCCGAACACAGCCCGTCCTCGAAGAGCTGCAGAGAAGAGACGGAGAAGGGAGTGTTGCCATTACCCACGGAGGGGGAGCTGCAGGAGATTTTTGGGGAGAACCGATCGATCTTAGGCGTACCTGGGAGACGAGGAACCAGGGAGAGGGATCTCGCCAGGGGGACAAAACGGGGAGATTTGAGGGAGAGGAGTCAACCGAACTACAAAAAATGGAGGAAAAGAGGGGGGGAGCGGAACAGTGGAGGATGCAGCGACTATAGCAGCGAAGCCCACTGAGACAAATGAAAGATCGTTGGTATACCTGAAGGAAGACCCGAGGGGGGGGACAGTGGGGATGGAACAGGAAGCAGCGGGGGGATCGGGAAGGGAACCGGGTCAGGAGGGAACAGCCGAGTCGAAGAAGTGGGGGAGGGGCCGAGAAGAGATGTCAGGAGCGAGATGGGCTGCTGGGGAGGAGGGGGGTGGCGAGAGGAATAGACCGGCGGGCACACACAATGACACCCCAACAGGGGTGATGGACCAAGAGGTACGAAGAGGGGGAAGGGCCGCTGGGGAGGAGGGGGAAGGCGAGAGGGACGGGTAGGCGGGCCCACACAAAGGCATCCCGGTAGGGCAGATGGATCATTCGGGGGGGCCAATAGCGTTGGAAAGCCCGGGACGAGGAGCGCAGGAAAGGCCGCTCCTCACGGAAGGAAGAGTCACACTCGCCTCCCCGGATCCGGCACACAGAGCGCCCGAGGAAGGAACGGAGGAAGAGCCAGAGGGCAGAATGGAGGGGCGCAATAGAGACCATCGGGAGACATGTTGCACACAAATGCGCACGAGAATGGTGCTCCTGGACGAGGCTTTTAGTGATATGCGCCAGGCGGGTCGGCTTCGCGTTTTGCCCTTCGTCTTCAAACGTGGGATGGGCAACCTACAGATATTGGTCACAACACAAGAGGCGGATGAAGGGGAGGTGCGATTTGCAATGGCCAGGTTTGAGGACCATCCATCACAGCAATGGGCAGTCACGGCGGGGAAAAACTGGGTGGGGGAGAACTATGAGGTGGGACCAGTGGAATGATTGTCGGCAATCCGGTTGGTGGAGAAGGTGGATGACGGGAAACTCATGGGATTGTATGTGTTTCTGCTGAGAGCGGAACTCTGCCTGGAAGCGACGATATCGTCTCTGAAGTCGTTATTTGAGTGGCAGGACTTCGCCCAACTTTTGGGACCGACGATGGCCGCAACATCCAGCTACGTGACCCAGGAGACCGTGGACACACATGTCCTGAGGGGAGTAAATAAACATCTGCCCGAAGACAAGAAGTTCACAGGACACGGATTTTGGGTAGAAGGATAAGAATGGCCATGTGCGAGATTAGGGATGCGGCGAAGAGAGCGATCACCAACAGCCTCACAGAGGGATGCAGGCTCAACGGGGGGCCGGCAACATTCAAATCAAGTAAGCCAGCAGCGACACCCGAACAGGACCTCGAGAAGATCCAGAGTGTTGGTTAGTGTGACATCCGCGGGGGGGTCGGCGCGAAGAAATGGAGGAGCAAGGGGGAGAGGTCGTGGGTGAGGGGGGAGGGGACGAGGATAGCCGGAGCAAGGGTTGTGGGCTCTCTGGGAAAAGAGAGTTGGGGGGGGGTGGGGGGAAAATCACCGTCGTACCAGTAAGAGCTAGAT